GCGGGGAAGAGGGGCTGGTCCTTGACGAGCACTGGAGGCTTAACTGTTTCTTGGCCTTCGCAACGTCAATACTCTAGTGCTTCTGCTGACCCTGGGGGTACTGAGAGGTTGTCTAGCAGCTCAAAAGCGCCAGGGTGATCGCCTATGGCGCACAAACCCTGCTTCTCTCCAAACCCTGCTTAGTTAGGAAATTCTCTTTTAGCATCAACCAAAAGTCCAAAGTCCCACGCCAGGGTACATATGTCCTCATACAGGACATATGAGCCGAAAGGGCCCTCCCCCTCCTCTTAGAAACCATCTGCTACCTCTCCCCTCAGATGGACCTAGGGACTGACCTTCAGTGCTTCCAGGAACAGGAGACAAAAGGACTGGGGCTTGAAAGTAGGGCAGAGGTGGGGGATGGGGGATACACTAAGCCGTTCCCTTTTCTGAACCACAACTATAGAAAACAGGGGAGGCAGAAATAAGTCATGTTTTAGGGTGGAGGGTAGTTTGAAATTCTGGAGTGGACACAGCCCCCAGCACACTAGGGTGGGGCACAGGGACCCTGGGAACTGCATTTAGGTCTGTGCCATTGCAAACTGCAGAGCAACCACACAGGCACTGATCCTTGGAATCTTGAGTCATTGGATGAGGAGGCCCACTGAAGGGCAAGGGAGGTTTCTGCTTTTCAGTGAAGAAGTTAACAAGAATCACAGAGCATCCCAAGGACCCAGGCTCAGGCAAGATTTTCTAACTATAGGCCAATTATTAAATGTAATGTAAAGTACTCTTTGGGTTAAAAAAAAAAAAGTCTTATGATAACTTTGCAGGGGTTGGGTCCCTGTTCTCTCCTTGTCTCTGTACCTTTCCATGCCTGTCAGTCTTACATTATCTTGACGTTTCTGATGTTGACCTTGTGTCCCTTAGTCCCTCTGCCTCAGATTTTGTGAAATGTTCCAGGACTCAACAGAAAGATCTGGAGCTCTAGCACTCACTTCCAATGGGTGATGCTCTAGCTCTCACACCCTGTCCTCTTCCCATTAACCCTCCCCAATCCTGGCCAGCTCCTAAAACCATGGCACAGTGACTTTCACCCACTCATACCCCAGCACCAGCCCCACCCTTGTCCCAGGCTGCCAAGAGCAGCCTTTTGAAGGTCAGAGAAGTCAAAATAGTCTCTGCTCTCAGCATCCCTCCATCCCCCCTTAACTGCAGCCAAAGGAGAAGAGAAGCTGAGTCACCAGTACTCTTGGGGGGGCAGGGGAGGGTAGAGGGGGAGGAACTCTTGCTTAGATTCGGGATGCAAAACACAACATGGCAACAGCCCCATTTAGAAAGAAGAGGCCATCTGTGCAGATACACAATACAAGCCAGGCTGAGTTCAGAGCATCAGAAAAGTGAAATATCTTCCTTTTGCAACTCCATAGTTCTTATTTTCTCCCACCTTAAGTCTTCAATCTGTTCTCTGCTTTCTAGGGCTCTCTGGAGTATTAGGAGGGAAATTTGAGTAGACTTGGCTTGGGAACAAAAATAACATTTCCTAGTCAAATGCAGAGCCCACCCTTACTCTCAGCTGCCACATCCCAAGGGCCACAGTTTCAACTCACAGTAGAGTTTTTCTTCAGCACTCACCCTCTGAATAGCCACTCAAGACAACCCAACCGACCCTCAACTTGCTGAGTCCCTAGTTGCAATGAAATGGAAGAGAGAGAGGTTTGAGCTTAGACATGGGACTCGAGATCTGACTCCACCAATCATGTCACTAAACAAGCCACTTAGCCTCTCTCAGAGCTTTCTTCCTGAATTATAAGGTGTGTATAATGTTATTACCATCCTCCAATAATGCTATTAGGACTGACTTGCATAAAAGATGTGTCTCTTTATTCCTAGAATCTTAAACCTGCAAGGTACAAATACCACTGGAAATTTCTCCCTTTTGTGTAAGATTTCTGAAAGGCCACCTAGGTGATCATGGAAATCCTAAACCAGAATTTTAGACCAGACCAACCCTGGAGTTTCCAGGTAAAAACTAGAACTGGACATGCCTGCAAGCTGACACTTGAAGTTCTACTCATGGACCCACTTTCCCACTTCAGACAGCAATATAGACCCCTAATTGAAGACAGCTTTCATTTCATTTTGAGAGAAGTACAGACAAATTCCTTCTAGGAACATCAATGGTAATAGAGACGGGTTCCTCAGCCTGTGTTTCTTAGAGTCTTAGAATATCAATTCTCTCTTCTCTATAGGTGCTCAATAGTATTATCAGAACTTTATTGAAACTCAATTTCTTTTTTCCTTTTTCTTATTTTTCTGGCAGTACCAGGGGTTGAACTCAGGACCTCATGCTTGCCAGGCAGGCGCTCTACCACTTGAGCCACCCCATTTTTCAGATGGGGTGAACTATTTGCCCAGGCTGGCTTTGAACTGTTATCTTCCTAATCTCTGCCTCCTGAGTAGCCAAATTACAGGTGTGAGCCACCAGCCACCTGGCTGGCTCAGGTTCTTTCTTTCTTTCTTTCTTCCTTTTTCTTTCCTTCCTTCCTCTCTCTTCTCTTTCTTTCCTTCCTTCCTTTCTTCCTTTCTTTCTCTCTTTCTCTCCTTCCCTCTCTCCTTCCTTCTTTCTTCCTTCCTTTTTTTTTGCAGAGCCAGAGCCAAGGTAAACCCAGGGCAGGTGCTCTACTATTGAGCTAAACCCCCAGGCTGGAGGCTCAGTCTTCCACTGTCCTAGTTGTATCTTCTAGGATGTGTTAAAATGCTCAGAAGCTCCAGAGTTTTTAAATTTTTAATTTAATTTTACTTTTTGCAGGAATCATAAAGAAAGGTTCCAAGTCCTTGCTGGAAACTGCCTGGCACAAAGCCACCTTTGAAAACTTTTTACCAACTTGACCACTAGAAGGAGCTGGGCCACTGACTATTAAAGGGTCCCTTCTTTTGTGTGTGAGTGGGTGAATGTGGAGGGAGGCGGGCCTAGGAATAATTGCACTCTTCCTGTTATTGTAGGATACATTTTTGTTCCTTTTCTCATCATTTTACCCAGTGTTGGAAGACAGGTAATGGGAATGATGGTCCAGCCTGTGGGGTAGACAGAAAGGGTCAAGTCAAGTGCTAAGGCACTAACTAGCGTATCTCCTTGAGCCCATCCCAGTCACTGGTTCCTTTTGCCTTCACTCACAGGAGGCTGAAGGGAGGGCCAGTGTCTGCAGCTGCTCTGGGCTGACTGTTGTTTGTGGGGACAGCTGAAAGAGGAGTCAGCAGGGGTGGGGCTGTGGCTGTCTTGAGCTGTGTGTGTGTGTGTGTGTGTTTTTTTCCAGGAAATTCTCCTCTATTCTCCAGGGACATAGACAGGCAACCAAGAAGATGTTCAAACTTAAAAAAATTCAGTGTGCTAAAGTAAGCCCTGATGTGGGATGTATGGCTCTGAGCCCCTTGAGGACATCATAGCAAAACTCTGACAAGGTCTAGTAGATATTTCTATATCAGTGCTTTTGAGGATTACTATGCTACTACCCATAAGCCTCTTCCCAAGCATCTCCTTCATATGAGTTTGAAGAATGGCTTAGAAGTTGGCTTAAGTTCTGTTCATTCCTTACATCATTTGAGAAACAGTCTACTCTCAAGTCTCTGTGGCCAAAAGGGCAAGGTTAGAAAATTCAGTATGAATTATTTATATCAGTAGATAATCCCTAAACTTCAGTTCGGTCATTAATTTTATCTTCTGCCATCCCTTTCTTCAGTTTTGCACTAAAGCTGCTAGGTACTAGGTGGTAAAATTTTTGATTTTCAGTCATCAGGGATAATGGAGGAAGCCATGAGATGAGCAATTCTACGCAGAAAGCAATATCAAAAAAGTGAGTGGTTGGTGTTATAGGAAATCAGTCTCACATCAAGAAAGTACCAGCCTCACAATCTTTAAATTGTGGCACATATACCTAAGATAATGGTATGTTAGTCATATTAATCTTGTTTGCTCCAACCTCTAGCAGCAACTAGAGCAATCAGTGATCAGGAAATGACCAAAGACCTGGCAGATAGGAGGAGTAGGAAGAGGAGAGGTGATTATTTACCATACTGGATAATTGAGAATTATTTGCATATGAATTCAGTTATTTGGTGGCAATGGCTATTAAGATGCATGAATTTTATATTCCATAAAGCTTCATGGAAGCCAGATTACGGTAATCCCAGCACTTGGGAAACCAAAAAACTCCATGAATTGGTGTATGAACAATTACCAATAAATAACAGAACAGACTAGATGCCTGGAACTTTTATCATGAGATGTAGGATATTCTAGCTCTTCCCACAGACATCAGTCATAGATGATAGTTCATAAAATCACATCTCAAATTTCTAACCCATTTCTTCCACTCAGAAGAATTGGAAACTACATTCTGTAAACTTTGATCTAAAAGCCAAACCTCAAAGAGTAACTAGCCCTTGTAGCAGTAAATTCAGGTGACCCTCCTTCCACCTTGGATTTGATGGTGCTCATCAGTCTTTGGAACTAGGATTGTCCTCTGCTCTGGAGAACTGTTGACTAAGTCAAAGAAGGGAACAGAAACCCTGAATCCTGGAAGGCAGACTGTGTGAAGCAAGGGCCTGGGAAGATGAGTGAGGGCATTTTAGGATCTCTGTAAAGGAAAGCAGGGAGGCTGGGGGTATGCAGAAAGGAGAACACAAATGAAGAGTAGATATTTGCATGGGAGGTGATTGACCACTGAAGAGGAGTACCTTGTTTTCTTAGTGCAAGTTAACTACTGTCCATGAACAACCTCTTCTTGAAGAAATTATACTTTCCAGGCTCCAGGCTCCCTCCAGCCTCATACCATGAAACTGCAAAATGTACTCAGTCTGTGGAGATAGCTATGGAGCCCTGCCACTCGCCCATCAGGAGTCCCTCCCTTCTCTCCCACCCAAATATCCCACAAAGCCAGTTCTGTCAGTGAGGCTGGACCTCTACTCTTCTGTAACCAGCTCTCACCTAAAAGATTAAGACAAATGACACTAGTCCTGACCTTTGACCTCTGAGGAGAAGTGAGCTAGGTGCCGGGTAATGAAGAGTCTCAACTGTTGGTTCAGGTCAAAGGATGACAAGTCAATGTTCCAGGAGAGAATTCCTGTGAAAGAAAAAGAAAGAAAGAGGGTTCTAGATAAAGTAAGAGGTTAGGACTACAGAAAGCCCTTTCAAGCTCATAGAAGGGAGAGGGAGAGGAAGGGGATAGGGGTAGTTGCCATGATGAGTGAGCTTCACTGATGTCTCTCAGAGGGATGGCCAGTACTTGTGTTTATCTCCTAACCACAGGTTTTTGTTGTTGTTGTTTTGTTTTTTTTCCCCCTTGCTGGAGCTACAAGGAGAAGGGCTGAGATTAGACTAAACTTGGTCATTAATGACCAAGTTTAGCAATTTTTTTAAGCAATTTTTAGGTAGCAATTTTTTTTAAGGTTGCTTAGTTGTGGTAGAAGTGACACCTAAGAGCCTACTCCCAGATACTGTGGCCTTCTTACCTACAGATAGGTAAGATTCTAGATTCCTGTTCTCTGTCCCCCTCCTTGCCTCCACCCCTGCGGCTGGCTTCCACCCGCAGGTGGCTCCGCAGCACTGCGCCACAGGCACAGGGAAGGGAGGTGAGCTGAGGAGCTGGTAGCCTCGGAGGTCACTCTCTCACGTTGGCTGCCGGCATTCAGAGACTTGGTATTTGTACGCAGCGTTCAGAAAGCACCCTGTGCGGGTTCAGGGACGCTAAAGAAGAAAGTGTAAGGTAGGGACATGGCCTCCCAGGGAATGGTGAGGACTTTCAGGATATCTGGCTGAGACACTGCGGGAGAGGGGTGTGACCAGAGGGGCCCCTGGGGTTGCATAGAGGTCCCCTTCCTCAGGGAGATTGCGGAACACCACGCAATGTGCGGGAAGGATGAGCAAGCAAGAAAGATGTCATGAGCTCGGGAAGGAGGCGGACAAATGGCATGGAAGATGCAGGTAAAAGGAGCGCAGGTCTCAGAGAGTGCCCACGGGGGTAGAGGATGCAAACGTGCGAATTGGAGATGAATGCAGATGGCGGAGAAGCATGGGATGGAGGTGCTCGGGAGACAGCCAGGACAGCGGCTCACCTTGTTCAAGGTGGGCCCGAACGGCCCTCAGCTGGCTCTCTGTGCAGATATCGCCGATTACGATAAGCAAAGAGTGTTTCCGTAGGTCCCAGCGTGCCGCCGCCACGGCGGCTCTGGTCTCGCACAGCGGCTCCGCTGGGTTCTGAGCTAGAGATGCGCCGGAGCTTCCGAGCCCCAGCCCCGGAGTTGTCTCCATGGCAACGTCGCGAGGCCGCGCAGGCCCGGCTTCGGTCTCCATGGAAACTCCAGAGGAGTGCTAGACCGGCAGCGTCCGCAGCAGGGAGAGTGTGCGCGATTCTTAAAGCCGGCGGCGGGGGCCGCTCATTGGCTGTTACCTGCCAGGGGGTGGAGCATAGGCGCCGCAGGGGCGGGGCTGGGGCGGGGACGCTGTGGCTCTGCGGTCTCGCCCCGCCTGCGGTTGGTGGCCTCCCCCACCCACCCTCCTGCAGTTTTCCAGAAGGAGCTCCCGCTCCGACTAGAGCAGGGGTAGGGGTTTTGAAGGACCCAGCGCAGGGTCCAGTCGATTGCTTTGACGCCAGAAAAAGGTGCTAGTTTTAGGATGTGTCCCCGATAAATACTGTCTGGCAATTCCGCAGCCTCGCCCGAACTGAGGGGAGCCATCTTGTCGCTCACTCTTTCGGAGTTTGTATCATTGTCTCCATCTGTGTCTGTGCGTCTGTATTATCATTGTCTGGCGCTCTTTTTTTCTTTCTTTTTTTTTTTTTTTTCTCCCTTTGTCGCTGCCTGCCACGATCCTGATCTCCATCCTCGGTTTCCCTGTCCTTGCCCCAGGCTCTGTGCACAGAAAGGCTGCGCAGTATTGGAGGGGACAGAATGACCTTCCGGCCCTGAGTCCCTGGTGAGTTGTTATGCCAAAGATAGTAGTTGGCTAGTCTCCATCACTGCTGAGTGCAATGAGCTCAGACTGCAGCAAGGGGGTTTGAGTAAAACCAAGGAAAAACCTTCCCACTACAAGTGCAGTGATAGAGTGAAATGGGTAACCTTAGGAGGCTGTGTAATTACCGAGCCCAGGGAATTCTTGAGACAGAAAGGGCAATGTTTGAACCAAAGAAAAGATGACAGCTCCAGAATCAAAGAACCAGGGGATGGGAAAGAACTGAGGAGGCCTGGCACTGTATATATAGCGGCTGGGGATGTGGTAGAGTTCTTTCCTAGCATACACAAGGCCCTGAGTTTGATTCCCAGCACCATCACCTCCTAAAATAGTGCTGTGTCTATTTCCCTACATTCCTCCGTGTGTCTCTACCACCTGCTCTGCACTTCAACGCACTTACACAGGCTACCAAATCATTGTGTGCATGCATGTACTTGTGTATACTGATAGAAAGCCTGTCTTTCACCCTAGGTCTCCAGCTGCACTTGCTTTTTTTCCCATTTACCTTGCACTTTGGGGTTAGTACTGGCTAGAAAGGAACACAGGGCCTGACGCAGCAGGGTTGCTAGTGAACCACATTCTGATTGGGCAGTGTCTGGTCTGCATGTTCAAGTATCTCACAGCAGTCCTGGTCCCCATCACGGAACACGTGTGTAGCGGAGCAGTCCATTCTGTAACGGATTTGGATGTGGCCCTGAAAATCCTTTTTGTAGCAGAGAAAGGAAAACAAAAGTACTGGTAGAACATCAGATGGTGGGGTTACCTCACCCTACGGTGATCTATAAGACCATGTTCCATTACCCTCTCCCCACCATTTACAGATCTGAATCTGGGAAACAGCACCGAGGGATGTGTAGTCGTTTTCCTACAATCAGAAGAGTGCCAAGTAAAGGCAGAGGGGTCAGAATGGGTTGTGGGAAGGGGACGGTTTCCATAGCAACTGTAGAGATGAAGCTTTTAACTAGCATAAGGGTCAGTAGCAGTTAACCACAGGCCTGCCTTATCAAGTCTAACAAAAATGGTAGAGGGAAGGACCACACACTAATCAGATGATAGGGCCTGCTAGAATTAGGTTTTATTAATTACAGCTGCAAATCAGACTATGATGATACTAAAATCACATATGTATGCTGGATAAGTACTCAGTAGGCCCTGTGCCAGAGGCAGATGATGCCACAGAAATACCGGCTACAGGTATCTCCTAATTATCATCTTCTGGTTATGACTCCATTATTATCATTATATTGTCAGAATATTTTTAAACCCATGCGTGGTTGTGCATGCCTGCAATCCCAGCACTCAGGAGGCTGAGGTAGGAGTTTAAGGCCAACCTGGGCTATATAGTTAGATTTTGTCCACCACTGAAAGAGGTTAGAAGAGGTCAGAAGAGGTGTAGGAGGAAGGCATTAGTATAGGCTCTCTCCTTGGGTGTGCACCGGAGTGAGCACAAGGTAACAGAATAAATCTCAAGTGGTAGGTACTATAACTTTGTCTAAATTAGGGAATTCTCAACCTCAGGCCTCTATGAGTTTACAATGTATAGTGATGAATTATTCGATAGGTAAATCAAGGGAGCACAAAGCTTTACCTATGGGAGGGACATCTCTAAATTTTTTTCTGAAAATAATTTCATATTTGGTATTTAAAATAAAGTTCTGAAGTTATCCTCATGAGAATACCAGAGCTTTATTGAAATTAATTTCACTTATCTTGAATCATGTGTGTTTGTGGGAAAAGAGAGGATTATAATTCTTTCAATGCTTAAGGTTTCCAGGAGATGAAACAGGCTGTGGTAATTCATAAAGAAAAGATGTTGGCTGCCTTCTAACTTCTGGTCTGATGAATGTTGTTAGTTTTTCTGGGGGTCTGAGTTCATTGGAGAGCTCATTGGTCTGAGCTCCACCCTGCTCTGCTGGATTGCATGGTGTTATCAATCAAAATATCCAAAGGAAGCTGTATGCAGCTCAGATTCCCTCCCTATACTGTATTCTGTCTATAAAGCGTTCTTTACACGGAGAGAAACGTGTTGGATTACAGGATTGCTGTGTCAGAGGCTTATCCTAGGCTTTGGGAGAAATCCTATGATCATAATGCACACCAGCAGTCATAGGGTCACCTTTTATCATGAGCAGCTGGTTTATCTGCAAAGGCCTGGAGTAAAATATCCCATGAAAAGGCACTAAATAAAATAATCTCTAAAAGGATTGAGGGGAATGAGCTCTGCCTTTATTACTAGGTCTGGCCCACTGAGGAGACCTGTAATAAATATTTGTTGGATAATTTTCCTAATTATTGTTTGTTCACATTAAGTAAATGGGCAGAACAAAAACACTGGATTTACCTTCCTTCTAAAAAACATTATAAAGGACAATGTAGAACTTCCCCCCTTTTCCACCTTTCCCACATTCTTCTATTAAAGAAAGTGATTCTCAAATGTGAAGAAGTATTTATAGGTGCCAATTTCCCTTATCCTTTCCATTTTCCTGTTAGATGGGGGGTATTTGGCTATGACCTATGACACCATCCTTTCTATTATTACTGTTATTATTACTATTATTTTGCAGTGCTGCTGATTGAAACCAAGGCCTTGTACATGTTAGGCAACCACTCTACCACTGAGTTACATCCCTAGCCCTTGGTTTTGAAACAGGGTCTCAGACTGCCCTAGAACTCATGATCCACCTGTCTCTGCCTCCAGAGTGCTGGGATTACAGACATGTACCACCACACCTGGCTCCATCCTTTCCTTAATCTGAGCAAAGCTATCCCCAAGTACTCTGCCACTTGAGCTATGCCCCTAGCCCTTTTGTTTTCATTTTATTTTATTTTTTGGTGGACTGGAATTTGAACTCAGAGCTGTACACTTGCAAAGCAGGGGCTCTACCACTTGAGCCACACCTCCTGTCCATTTGCCCGGAGTGGCCTCAAAACACAATCCTCCCCATCGCAGCCTTCCAAGTAGCTAGGATTACATGCATGAGCCACTGGAATGACTTTATTTTGACTTTAAGAGAGGGTCACTAACTTTGCCTTAAGTTGAGATCCTCTTGCCTCTGTCTCCTAAGAGCCTGCTATTGGTATATACTGCTGCTGCCTTAAGGATTTTCCTTAAGATGATGGTGGTAAAAAGAACTCAAAACTAAGTGCATGGCATAACTTAGTTTAAGGTCATGGCTATGTGTGAGTCAAATTTTGCATTTTTCCCCCAGAGAATTTATCGAATAGATTTATTTTCTTTCATGGAGTGCTTAGGTTTAAAAAAAAAAAATCATTCCCTTTGCAATATAACAAAAGAAAAAAATACTTTTTCTGTTCTTTCTTATCAGTTCATTCTTGAAGATCCTTCATAACATGCCCTAATTCCCTTTCCTACTTTACTCCCTACAAATATCCTGTATTAACCCTTTCAATTCAGCCAATCTGAGCCACTTGCCTTTTCCTGGGTCATTCTTGTACTTTCTGTTCAGCCTGTCCCTTTTTCCTTGGTGCTTTGTTCTCCTTAATTCTCTTCTAAGGATTTATTTAGTTATCTTTACCTTTATGACTTACCTTATTCATAGAATAAGACTTCATCTCATTCTACAAAGGTTTTAAGGAGTATGACTTAAACATAGCTGCTCTGTGAACCTGACTTTCTGTACTTGTTGACTACATGAACTTGGGCAAGTTGCTTACCTTCTCTGTGATTTAGTTTCTTTATCTATAAAATTATAAAAACAGCACACCAATTTACAAGGGGGGGGGTTGAGAAAGAAGTAGGACTATTTCTTAAATTTACTTTGTACAGTGCCTGAAATTAATTAATTCAATAATATTATGAAATTTCTGTATGCAGGAAATGGAGCACATAAATACCCTTGTTCTTATAGAACTTAACTTGAAAAATGAGTATTAATAAGTAAATGATAAAGTGTGTGAGAAAGTGATTAGTGCTGTGGCAAAAAAATGGGCTAAGCATGATTGGCAATGCTGGCGAGGGTATGGTGATGGGAAGGAGTGGTGAAGGGAATGGAAAAGGTTGTGGTTTTGAGTGGGGTGGTCAGGGTAGGTCTTATTGAGAAGAGACCTTGAGAGAAGTGAGGGCATTAGCCAATGAGTATTTGGTGGAAGAGTTGGTATGCAGAAAAAACAGCCAGTCCAAAGTTCCCAAGGTAGCAATATGCTGCCCATTCAAGAAATAGCTAAGACACAGTGTGACCCGCGCACAGGGGGGAGGGAAAAGGCGGTAAGATCAGAGCGGTAAATGGGGCCAGGTCACATAGGTTCTCGTAGGCCTTGCTGGGACTTTGGCTTTTACTCTGAGTGAAATGGGGCACACATATGTGCTTTTGAACAGAAGAGTAATATGACTCAACTTAGATTTTTACAGGGACCCTTTGCTTCTATGTTGAGAATAGACCTTAGAGGCTGTAAGGATTAAAGTGGAAAGCCAGCATGTGAACTTGGAATTCTCTAGGTGAGCAGTGAGGTAGCTCAGACTAGAATGATGTCAATGGAGATGATGAGAATCTGGGATTCTAGACACAGTATTTTTTTTTTTTTAATCTTTGGCAGTACTGCAGTTTGAACTCAGGGCCTTGTGCTTGCTAGGCTCTACCACTTGAGCCACACCCCCAGCTCTTAAATACATAGTATTTTAAAGGTGGAACCAACCTGAGCTCCTGCCTGCTCAAATAAGTGAGATAGAAAGAGAGTAAATAATGACTCCAAAGAGAAACCAAAAATGTACAAAGAAGAAAAAGTTACCTATAAGCGGAGAGAAGAAGCAGATTGTGAAATGGTCAG